CTCTAATGTGTTAAATAGAAAAAAAGGGTTAGGAACTAATATCCCTTATGAATGCCAACAATATGCCAGGTTCATATAATTGCAATCATGCTGTGAAAAAGGTATCCCTATGTAACAGATAAATATAGGCTCAAAAAGACTGAGTGACTTCACCAATGTCAGACAAATAGAAACAAATCAAAATAACATTTAAGATCTCTTCTTAAAAAACATACCCAAACATTAAGAAGAAAAAGAAACAAACAGGAATTACTTCTTTGATATAGGTAAAGAAACACTGTAACTCCAACCTGAAATACAATGTATAAAGACAGAATGCTGATGGTGAAATAGTAAGTGACTTAGCATAATGGAAGGTTAAAGTATAATGGAAGGTTAAAGTTAAGTCCCTACAGAAAGAGATAATGACAAACAATCCTATTTACTCCAGAAAGGCTTAGAAGCTGGAGGCGCTGGGATAGGCAAGCGGGGAGAACCAACCCTCCCCCTTCCTTCAACACACGCACAAGCACACGCACACACAGTCCTAAGAGAATGAGAGGTACGGTCTCCAGCAAAACGGAAGCAGTGCGGCTCCAGGCTCAGAAGCATCCCACACAGGAGTGAAATATTGATATGAAAACAGGGAGACTAAGTGAAACTTTATCAACTGAATGGTGGGACTTGTAGCTTGCTTCCCCCACCCAGCACTAGAACCCTGCCATCTAAACTCATTACCTGTGCCAATCTCCTCTCTTCATTATTCCACTTATGGGCAGAAAAATGAAGGACCTTTACCTGAAGAAAATGAAAGCCTTTTAGCCACCACCCAGAGAAAAGAAATAAAGGTAAAAACATGAGAGTTCATTAGTCACTAAGCCATGCTCATGCATGCCCAGTGAGCTTCCTACACTTTTGGAACTTTCTCTTGAATATGAAGGAAGTGCTAAGGATCACAAAGATCTGAAGAAAGCCTCCTAAAGAACGAAAACAAACAGAAAAAAAAAAATTATAGGAACCAAAACCAATGCAGGGAACACAAGAACATGTCAAAGACGAGATAACAGAAGATGCTGCAACCATGAAAAAAGGAACAAGATGCTATAAATACAGGAACAATGAACAAGAGCTCATAAAACATTTTTTAAAAAGATACCTGAAATTTTAAAATTCAGTGCAAGCGTTCAAATCTCCCAAATAGCAAAACAAAAGACAACTTTCTGGAGATCAAATTTCGCAACAGCAACATTGGAAGCCAGGCAATAAGGGAACACCTCCAAACTTTTGAGGGAAAATGATTTCCAATATAGAAATCTCTCAACAGCCAGTCAAGTATGGGGTAAAAAATAAAATCCCAAAAAAATTTCCATTCACTCTTTCTCAGTAATAGTAGAGAAAAGCAACATGAAGGAACAAACCAAAAGGAAGGCATGGGATCTAGAAAAGGGTCTCAATAAAAGTGAAAGAAATGCCCAGAATATCAGCTAAGGGAAGTCCCAAGATGACAGCTTTGCAGCAGGCCTAACAGGAAACAATCCAGACTAAAGCAGGAAGGAGAGCTACAGAAGGGATAGATGACTACAGGAACAAGTGGAACCGATAAGTTTATGTGACAGATCTGACCATGTGGAAAATTGTGCTGAAAACCATTTTATGGAGCTGCTGGAGGATACAGAAAGACTTTGCCAAACAAAACTAACCAAATGAAAAAACAAGATATGGAAAATAAAAGGTTACACAAGAAAATGAAATCACAGTAAACTATGACAAATATTTGGTCATAATGAGGAAAACTAAATACAAATTTAACCTAAAATTGTGGAATAATATTAGAAAGATGGGGGAAAGTCTAGTTTGAAAATCTTTGAACATCTATCACTTTAAAAGCACTGATATTTACATACTTCAATTTATTCATTTCTAAGAAAAGCCTCTATTGTCATTAAATTCTGTAACTACACTTTCAAGGCAAAAATTCAGTGAAATGTTCTGGTTTGCCTTGGGATACATCACAGGGTTACTCTAAGGAGAAAAAAGCTAATAAATGCAAAGCAAAAACACTAACAAAAGTTAGATCTATGAAAGTTGTATTGGTTACTGGTATCAGCTAAAGCACTCTGCTATCTAATGAAGTGTTTGTTCTGTTGTTTGATATAACTCTAAATGTTGGATGCCTTCAGTACATGTCCCATTTTTACCTTCCACACTTACCAATTCAGTAATTTATCAGTCCTACAGGAAAATGGGCTGTGAACTCTTCGGTATACTACCTCTGTAAGCACCAAAGCCTCGACATTTTCTAGTTTTAAAAATCCAAAATGTTTTGCATGTTTTCTTTTTATAAGAAACACATTTAATTTTTACTTGATGACTCAGGCTATCACACAAGTCAGCTACAGCACTATGCCTAAATGGCCTCAGAGGTTTTAGGTGTGTAAGGCATCAGCCCTTACACAATGGACCTAGACTGGTATGTTTTTGTAATTCTCTTGTTCATCACTCTTCACTTTCAAATCTACTGTCAATGATCCTTCCTCTGTCTGAATTAAACCACCTTTTAATTTGTTATAGGGATAAAAAAACAAATTATCATGCTTCTGATTCAACATTTACTAAATGACCTGCCAAGCCCTTTTATACACACTTCCATTTAATATAATTTGTGTTAGAATGGTAGCCAATGCAAAAATTTAGCGGTTCTTACTAAAGATTTTTTTTTAAAAACTACTACAAATAAATATTAAGCTTAATTGCTTAGTGGAGTTGGGAGGCTAGATCTTTTGGAATTCTTTTTTGTTTTTTGAAGGAAAGCTCTATCTTCCTTGCTTAGGTGTCTTTACAACTAACTTCCGATTCTGATTCAGGTTGTTCAATCAATGAACTATGAAATAATTGAGGGGCGTCACTGAACTGTCCTATGTGCTATCCTGTGAACTATCCAATTGAGAGCAACACTAAAAAGAGATGTATATATACCTAAAGCAATAGACACTTGGTTATCCAGTCACTAAGATTTTTACAAAAAGTTTAAAGAATTGTACTATAAATTAGGACTTTTATATTTGCAATTATATCTATATTGAATTTTACCTTTGTAAAGTAAGATCAAGTATGTGATCTTACTGTTTTAATACCACTGTTAAGAATCTCCTTAATTAAAACAGAACCTCAATTCAGTTAAACCTGAACTTTAGAAGATATGAGTACTCCCTAAATTAAAAGGGAAAGATTTTTACCATTAAATTTACCATCAAGACACTGAAAGAATCCTTCTCTTTGATTTTCAGTTTTTTCTTAATAGCAGCGTTTCTGTCAAAAAATGAAAGTCTTACAAATGTTAACATCTAGTCACTAAAAACGACCTAAATAGGTCATGGAAAAACATCTTCCCCACATCTTAATGTAAAGCTTTCACTGCTTATATTCAGGCTTAATAATGTAAGCCGTAGCCTTCAAAAGGAGGGTTCTAAATGTAACTTAAAGACTAGAAAATTTTTTCTTTAATAGCCATTTCACTTTAAGGGCCATTTATGTGCTCCATATTTTACGTCAGAATTGTTAAATACTTATTTTCAACCGTTCCATACACTGGCAACGTTATGCCTAGGTTCACTTCCTCATTCAAATAACTTAGAAAAACAAATACACTGTTTACACATCACAAATAAGGCTGATATCGAGCTGCAAATGCAGACTTCCAGGCATTATAACTTTTAAATGTTACCATTAAAGCAAAATCCTAACCACCAGACTAACGGTAGTACAAATTCCATCCTCAAAACCACTTTCCTAGAAGCATCACTCTCCAGAGCTGAGAGATCCTTTACCTTGTGCCAAAGTACCTGATGGCTATACTTAGATGTCAAAGCTTTGCTACAGGCAAAAAAACATCAAGGAAGAAGTAACCGTTGCTACCTACTCATGTATATTATTTTTAAAAACTGTGAAGATACATTCTAATTCAAATATACAGAGAATTTTTCATGATCTAAGCTACCATTAGAACAATGCTAAAACCACTTGAGATTTCATTTTCCTTTAAAAACGAAAATACTTGGACAGTACTGTGTATCAATGTATATTTATAATAAAGATCATTATGTGCTTTAAGCTTTTGATCACACAGAGATCTAATTTTCAACCAGTCTCCATATTGTACCACTGTCAGACCCTTGTGTATTAATAGCTAAATAGGTAGGACCATCTACTTTACAGAAATACTTTCTGAAAATTATATGACTAGCTTACATTTTAAAACTGTCTAGCCGTGTCTGAACAGGACGCTCAAGAATTTGCCTTTTTCTGATGCTAAAACATTTTGCAGCTACTCGATCAGGCCAAAAAATGTCAAAGCTCCAGATTTTATCGTTTGCTGCAGGAAAAAAAGAATATGGCTGAAAATTCTTTCTGAAGGGTGGTATTTCAAACAGGACCATCAAAACACTTCAAGACTAAGGAGCGGAAAGGAGGGAGGAGGCAGGGTACCTTATGAAATAGCACACTTCGAGCCCTGCACACTACCTCATTTCCCTAATAGGGATGAAAAGCTCAGGCCTCTGGTAGCTTCCAGCTGACGCCAATGCTCTCCACACCCCTTTTTTTGACAGGGTTTTCTGGCGCTAGAGCTTGTCACAAATATGAATTCCACGATCGAGTCTAAAAGGTCTAATACTCAAGCGTCTTTTACAAGACCAAACCCTCCCATCTCCCTCCGTAGCCGAAAGCACTGAGGCGGGTCCTCTAGACGGAATTCCACAAATCCTGCAGCGCATTAACTGGGAGGCAGAAACGATATAGAAAATAAGAGTTTCGGCCATTCCCCTTGCTGCGACCGAAATTACAGGCTCCATTTCCTGTACCCATGGGAACTGCAAAATCGCCTGCAGAGAACCGGACGCTTCCCGCCCCCTTCCAGGCTGGCGCACGCGGCCCCCGCGCGCCCCCGGCCGGGCCCCGCGGGCGCGAGCGGGCGGCGGGGGCCGGGGCGCCCTCCCTTCCCCCCTCCGGGCGCCGGCACTCACCTCGCGACAGCGGCTTCACCTCCCCGTTCTCCTCCCGGGCGGCCCCGCCGGCCTCGCCCACCCCACCGAGGCCGTGCCTCCTCCCTTCCTTCTCTCGCTTCTCCTTGGGTCTGCGCGGCTTGGCGCTGGCCGAGGAGGCGGTGGCCGGCAGCAGGAGACGGTGAGGCTGAGCGTGCAGCAGCGTAGGAGGGACCAGCAGTTTGCGCTGCACCGGCTGAGACGAGGAAGCCGAGGCTGAGGAGGGAACGGCCGTGCTAGCGGAGAAAGAGAAACTGCTCCGAGCAGAAGAGGAGGAAGCGGCAGACAGAGCGGCGAAGCTCCAAGACGCGGGGCTGCCATAGCTCTGAGGCGAAGGTGCCGCGGGCGGCTGCAGCTGCCTGCTGTTCCCGCCGCTGCCCCCTTCTCCGTTCAGTCTCCGCGGCGTCTTCTTCTCCTCAGTCCGCACCTTCTTGGCGGACAGAGGACCCATTGGGTCCCGGGAGACGGGCTGCAACTTGCCAAACGGTTCTTTCTCCGAGACGGCGGCGGTGGCGACAGCAGCGCAGTGCACTGAGCTCGGCGGTTCCGCCATTTTGCGCTCCTGTTGTATTTACTCTCCTCCGCTCCCGGGCTCCGAGCAGGGGCGGGCCCTCCGCGAGGGGCTGGGGAAGGGTGGGGCGTCCGGGCCACCGGCCGGGCCTTCCATTGGGCAAGCCATGCTGAGGGATCCCTCTAGAAGCCAATCAAAGGCGCGAATCTCGAGCCGAAGAGGCGGGATCATCAAGTCGACCCGCTTTGGAGGTCACAGCTCCGCGGGGTGCGGCTAGTGGCCCAGAGAGCTGCTAGAGGCGGGTCTTGCAGTTGTCGCCAGTGTGAACTCGGGTGGCTCGTGATTGTCGGGGAAGAACACCCACTCCGGACCCCAAAATCTTCCCCGGCCCAGGTCGCGCTCGTCTCTGCCTGGATGACTTTGTCTTGTATCACTTTTTCATCATTTTTCTCTTGGTTCCCTTTGGTTCCTTCCTGCCTCTTCGCGCCCAAAAAGCAGAGTTTCTCAGATTCTCAGCTCAGAGGAGAAAATTTTACCGGGAATTAGGTCTTTCCTTCTTGGCAGTAGTCGATTAATGGGAGGGACTAAAACAAAAAATCACTTGGTGTTTTGACAAGATTTGTTACTGTTGCTGAAATCAACTGTTAATACTTTGAGGGATATAACTTCCTGCAAACCTAGAACTTTCGGATTACTTCTGAGCCTGAAGGTAAGAGTCTCCCTGGAGAATATTTCTTAACTTTTGTGATTCGACCCTTAAAGATTTTAATTTTATTATAATTCTTATAACTCAGCCTCATCAAGCAAAATCCGTTAACGATATTTATAAATGTTTGAAAAGCAAGGTGGTTTTTTTTTAAGTGTCTGTATTTTAGCTTTTAATTAGCAACGTGAGTGTTGGATGTTTTGTAAGCGTGTGTTTTGATTTCTAGCTTAGACGATAAGGAATTTGCGATGGGTTACAGTAATACGGTTGTAACCAAAAGCGAGGAGCACGATTTTAATGTAACTCTAAAGTTTCACATGAGATCAAAAAGTAAAAGGAATAGACGTAAAAATAAAAACATTAAAATCAGATGACCCTTTGGAGGATGTTTTGAGTCCTTTAAAGGAGCCCTAAATTGCCTTTAACTTTCCAGGATTACTAATACTTATTTGTGACCTATGAAGTTGGATTTTGTCCCCTGCCCCTTTTTTATTGTGTTTTAGTTGGTTTTTTTTTGGTTGGGCGGAAATCGGGGGTAGAATATTTTGGAGTCAAAATTTAATGTTTGTTTATGGACTTGTATTTTTTGTTTGTTTTGTTTTTGTTGTTTTTTAGGTTCCTCAAATTCTTTAAGTAATGAAAGTATTTACTTCCAGCAAGTGAAAACTGTAGTTGGCATTGACTGGCAGCAGATGTCTTCATGAAAAGTAGCACTGGTGGAAGAATAGACAGAGAGGATAGGACTAGAAATCATCTGCTACTAACTACTTATGTGGCCTAAGGGTGCTTCATCTATCAGAATCTATTTTATTTAAGTGAGTAAATTTGATTACATGATCATTAAGGTCCCTTTCCATGCTTTAAACTTCTGCCTTTCGTATTTTAAAAGCTTTTCAAAATATCACTGAAACTATTACAATTAAAATAACTTCTTGATGAATTACAGAATTGTACACTTGAAGCCTATGTAATTTTACTAACCATTGTCACCCTAATAAATTTAATTTAAAAAATTAAAATAGCCCTTAATTGTTGACCCCCCCCCCGATATAGAAAATGCTTCTTATATATGTTAATGTAGTGCCTAGAAACTTGTATCACGTATTCTTTCATCTCCCACACAGATGTCTGGAAAATCTGACTACATAGGGCCCAGCTAAAGTCTCACCAGCATGAGTTTGTTACTTTTTGCACTATACTGTTTTATACTATTACACACTCTTTTATCAGGCTAGATTCTAAATTTGCAGAGGCTGGGCAAAAATGTGGCTATGGAGGCTCACATACCATGTATCTATAAATATTTAAGTTATAAATCAAGATTATAAAAAAAATACTACTGTACTACCTTGACAAATCTACTTAAATAATAATTCGGAAGGCCAGGTTTAAATTTCAAATTATCAGACCTCTAGAGTTGTCTGACTTGACCTCATTCTCTTCCCATTCCCAAGTTCTTCACCCTTCACACACCAAAAGGCACCATACATGTATTCACTTGATATGGCCAAGCTATGTTCACACCTTCATCCCATGCAAATAGTGATGTATAATCAGCAACTGGATCTGCCCTCAGCTCTAGCCAGTATAAAAGAGGAGTGCAGGTGCTGGGCAGGTATGGTCCTTTAACCATTTGCAGCAGAAGGAGGGTCCTTACCCAGGCCTAAGGGCAGTACCGTTATAAAACATACCCAATTATCTGTTTTCTCCCCCATGTAGTCAGCCATTCCCTTTCAGCTAGATCATTCCTAACAACATTGAACTAGAAGAGAATTCCCACCCGTATCACCAATTCCTACTGGCTTCATCTCTACTGGCACTAAAACCATCCACTTCCCTCCATGTCCTCTGTTGGGACTCCATTCCAAGTACCAGTTCCTCTCACCTGAATGACAACACTAGCCTTTTTTTCTTGACTCCTTGTATTCTAATTTTCTCAAACCCGTTCTCCATTCTACCCAGAATGCTCTTTTCAAAACTTAAATCAGGGCTGGCCGAGCGGCGTGTTGGTTAGGAGTTGACTTGGGACGCCAGCTCTGAGTAGCAGGGCCCCGGTTCGGATCCCACATGAGGGACATTGTTGCACCCTCTACAGCTAAGATGGTGAACAACAGCTTGATCTGGAGCTGGGCTGCCATGAGTCGCCGGAAATGGCATATGCTGCAGCCCCTGCTGCAGTGGGCTGCCATAAGCTAACGTGAGTGGCTGGCCGCCAGCGTGAGCAGCCGGCAGCCAGTGTGAGTTGTCAAGAGCCGCTGTGAGCAGCCATCCAGTGACTGTTGACTGATCTGC